ATGTACCATAAAAGAAAGAAAATTTATTCTTTGAAAAATTTAGTATACAAGTGATATAATAAGCATATCTATATATACAGATCGATTTGTGTGAATACGTACGATATTTTATACAGAAAAGACAATGAAAGTAACGCAAATAGTCTTTTGTAATAACAGAATATTTTTACATTTCGTTATCATGATATGTAGCTTTTATAATACAATCGGATACAACAAAACGTTCGAGATGTACGTGCTATTTGTTTTATCGAAATTTGAAATACATAAAAGCTGATTTGACCGATTATTGTCTTGGCATGTTTTGAATTCGTTGTTATCGTGTTTCGGAGAACGTCTACATCACGTGATCAATACCTGACATACTTCTTGATTTCAATTGGTGAATTTGACTTCGAATTCGTTGAAGACATTTCAAAACGGTGAAAGATTTGATAGAGAGGGATCTCTGCCTTAATCACTGTTTCTTGCTCAGTCAAGGCAGTCGTTTGCCGGCTATTGCGGAACACAGAGTAGTGCGATAAGTTACCTTCTTCTTTGAAAATGTCTAACAAGTGTCCAATGTGTAACACGATTTTCGATATGGCGGTGTTATTGGACGTACATCAATGTTTTCTAGGAGATTATGTCTGCGGGGTAAAAAAAAATTTGTACAACGTCTAAAAACGTGTAATAGGCGTGCAAAGAGTGAAACACATGCAAACACGACGTTCTGAATCTAGACACGTGAAACTAAAACTGTAGATTCATTGCAGAAATGTGAAATCGTATCTTATATATGCATATAAAAATATAGTTTCTATATATCAGCATTTTCTGTAAAACTAGTAGTTAATGTAAAATTATAAACAATTTTACAATAAATTTAGAATTATTTATAGATTATAAAAACTACATGATGTTTTTATAGTAAAAAGCAAACAAAANTAAAAGAAGTATTACAATAACATTCACTCGCGATTACGTCAAAAATAGTCACGTGTCAAGAAAAGAAATACAATACATATCAAATCATTTAATTTATTTAAAAGTTTCAAATATTTTAGAGAAATAATTGTTTACATTTTACATGAATAATAGGATTGTAACGGAAAGTTCAAAACCAGATTGCAATTGGTCAACCATATCTGCAGTGATAAGAAAAAATCTCAAAATAAATAAAGAAAACTATTAGTACATATAAACTATACTAAACATACATTTAGTATATTAATATTGTACAAGAAAAAGGTATTATTATATATTACTTTTTCTCATGTTTTGTATGTAAAAAAAGTTAAAGAAATATATATTATTCAGTCTAATTAAAAACGATTGTATTACAGAAGAATGTTCAGAATGTCAAATAATATAAAATATTATAAATATTACAAATATTAATTACAATTTGCACGTGGTCAACGTTCTCATATTATCGCAAAAGATACAAACAACTAATATAACAGAAACAACACTGAGTTTTATTGTAATCTACCTGAAATTGACGGAAGAGACACAATCAAAAGACGATAAAACATATGGACCAACTAGAAACATTCAGGATAGATTAATTAGTATTGACAATGTATATTATTAGTATTGACAATGTATATTACCAAAGTATATTATTTCCGTTTTTATGTTGTTAACAGAATTTTTGGCGTACCACAATAAGAACTACAATCAAACTGATTTTTTACTAATACGATAATAGTTTTGATACTTATAACTCTACTGCTTTCTATTTTTTGTATATTTAATATTTTTTCTATTCACCTATTTTTATCTAGTTCATTTTATACAAATATACATTGTATGTACATGTATATATATAATTATCAAACTCAGAGATATTTTACGAACGTTGTAGTATGTCTAAGAGTATTAAAAATATGTATAAAAAACAGTAAATTGTTTTATACATTTTTAAAGAGAAAATAACATATAAATTTATAAAAAATTGTATAATTTATTTTATATTAATATACTGAATACACTTAAGTGTATTCAGTGAACAAAGCAAGCCGCGACAGCCTCCGAAGATTTAATAAGCTCGAGTTAATAAATCCTCTTTTACTAAAATGACATATGTCTATAGAAAAGTAATCACATAAGAGAGAGAGGAGTTAAAGTTAAAAGTTAAAAGTTAAAAGAAGTTAAAAGTCGTAAAAGAATAAATAATGCCTTTAAATACACTTCCACTGTAAATATGTTTTATGCTACAATTTTAGACTAAACGGATAATAGAAATGTTAATAAAATTACAATTCATAAATTGTACAAGACTCTTTAATGAAAAATAATTCTGCACAACATAATCATTTATTGTAATTGTAAACTTAAAATAAAGATTTTGATACAGAGACCCCTACACATGTATGTATGTGTATGTTTATATAAAACTCTACCGCATCATACACAAATTTTTTACGATTATCCTGTGTAAGAAGCGGCTTTATGATTTATAAAAATTATAGCACTTATCAAATCTTGTAATAAGCACCTTCGAGACCAACAATATTGTATCAAAAATATATTTTATGTAACCCAGAGTA